TGCAGCAGTATATTGATAGAAAACTTCCAGAGGTTCAAGCCGGATTCAGAAGAGGATGTGGAACAAGGGATATCATAGCTGTTGTCAGATGGATCTTGGTTCAAGGCAAAGAATACCAGAAAGATGTTTACTTGTGTTTTATTGACTATGCAAAGGCATTTGATTGTGTGGATCATAGAGTTTCTAAGGCTGTAATAATCACGGAAGTAGACTGTCTCATCTTTCCCCCAAGGAGCAGCTAGAGGGTTCGAACCACTGACCTTTTGGTTAGCAGCCAAACGCTTAACCACTGAGCCACCAGGGCTCCCTGTAGATAAACAGATTGCAGCATGCTGCCTTACCTGTAACAGCAAACAGGCCTGGCCCTAGGCACGGCTTAATGTAATTTCTCATTTGAGCCTTTCCAGGCAGCTTCAATCCAGCCTGAAGAAATAACATCCCTCCAAGTTCCTAGCTGGCTCCTACCCTTCTCTGTGACAAGATAAATGCGTTCCCAAGAGACTGCTCAAATTTGGTTCACCCCATCCATCAAAGGACTCGTCTAGAATCCGGAAAGCAGATGAGGGAGGAGGCGATTTCGGAGATGAATGAGCGGAGCGAGGGTGCAGAGAAGGGCACGGATGTGATGTCTGAGTGCACACGCTGCTTCCCAGATGCAGAGGAGACAGAGCTCCGAGGCAGCCCGCTCAGACGCCCCTCTGGGAGGGGAGCAGCAGCTACACAGACAAAAACAGGTCAGAGGACAGGCGAGCGTGGCTTAGACTAGACCTGACAGAGGGGTCTTTCTAATCCAAGTGAAAGACTTCGGCGCTACTCCGGGGGCTTATGGGGACTTCTGCAAAAGGCTGCATCTACTTTGAAATACCTCTATCAATCCATTGTGATTTTTAAAGTAATTTAATTCTTAGAGAGAATGGATGGATCCATTATTGTACCTGGTATTTAATCATGCTGTACTTACTGAAATCTCAGATTATTAACTCATCCTGTCCTGGAAATCACACCTCACACGCCAGCTCCATCAGTGCCCACAAGGGCAGGACCGTGGAGCATGGGGAAGGGTGCTTGCACTGGTGCAACTGCCCAGCTGCCTCATATTCTTCCCTCCTGGAGCCAGAGATGCTGCTCGCTAGTTTCTTTCACGACTTTTCCTCCTTCTGCTTCTTCTTTTTTATTTTTTTCCACTTTTTATTGCGATTTGGGTGAAATCTTACTAAACAGATTCATTTGGTACTCAACAGTCCACACTCTGTAGTTTGGTGACACTTGTTACACCCCCACAGTGTAACAGCTCTCCTCCCACTCCCTCCCTGAGGTTCCCTGTCCCTGTGTCTCTCGTCTGTGCGTCCTGCCTCCCTACCTTCCTCCTGTGCAAATGCTGCCTTGCTGGTCCCCCATGGCTGATTTTTCTAAGGAGCGCATCACCCTGGTGTAGGTGTTTGGCTTGTAGGCTTGTCTATTGTTTAGCTGAGAGTTTAGCCATGGGAGTGAGTTCAATTCCAGGCCTGAAGGGTGACTAGGGGCTACAGTCTCGGGGGTTGCACCAGTCTCTATCAGACTAGTAAGCTTGGTCTTTTTTATAACTTTGAGTTTTGTTCCTCATTTTTCTCCCACTCTATCCAGCATCTCCAATTCTGATCCCTTTCTGAGTGGTTGGCATTGGTAGCTGGGCACCATCTAGTTCTTCTGGTCTCAGGGTTATACCGGCTGAGGTTCTCATGGTCCATTAGTCCTTTGGGCTGTTTACATATATCTTTGATATTCCTCACTCTTCTTTGTTCTGGACAAGGAAAGACCAAGAGTTGCGTCTTAGATGGCCACTTGTAAGCTTTTAAGACCCCAGTCACTACTCACTGAAGTAAGATGTAGAAAAATATTTTTATATACAATATTGTGCTCACTGAACTGATGGCCCCTGGGACCATGGTCCCTAGCCCTCAGGCCCAGTGACTCAGTCCCTCAAGATGTTTTGTTATGGCTAAGAAGTTATCCTAACCGTGTCTCCTATTACCTTTAAACTGCAACATGGGCATTTTCTTCCTCTTTTTTATTGTCTTTCTTTTCCTTGGGGGCTTGTTCCTCATATAGGCCAGCGGCCCCCAGTCATGTCCTGGCTCTGGGTTTTCTTAAGCGTCACACTATGGACATTTGGGGCTGGGTGAATCTACCTTGCAGGGAGATGTCTTGTGCATTTTAAGATGCTTAGTAGCATGCTGGCATCTACTGGATAGATGCTGGTAGCGCCACCTCTCTGCTGCAACATCCAAAACTACCTCAGATGATGCCAAATGTCCTATGTGGTGGACAAAGTCTCCTCCAGTTGAGAACGTCCGGAAGGCTCGGGCCTGCCTGTATTCTCTAGTTAATTTACAATTTGAGGGTCAGAAGGAATATAATGAAGTCCAAGGAAGGAGGAGAGAAGGAATTACCCCATAGTACGAGGCCTTAAGAAACGTTTCTATCGAACACAGGTAGAGTCCGAAGGCTCTCTGAGTCCCGGCTGATCTGCCAAGCTCAGAAATATCCCGACTGGGTGAGCACCACAGATTGACGTGTCTGATGGATCGGGTACAGGTTCCCTGAGATGTCATTCGGATGGAGGTGGCTTTGTGTCTTCACCTCCAAGACGGTGCAGGCAGGTATTGTCAGCAGGCTGTAACTGCCCGGCACACTCCTGCATAACCCTCACTGCCTCCTTAGGTTAATGCAGGGTGTCATTTCTGAACATGGTGCTTAGTGGGCAATTCATCCTGACTTAGAGAAAGGAAGAAAGCAAAGCAGTGACGTGCTTAAGGGGCTCGGACCTGCCGCCCGGCTCACTAACAAGGTATCCGGGGGCCTGGCACGCCTTTCCACATGCTGTCTTCCTCTCGAGTTTTTCTAGCCTGAGAAACCACTCAACTAAAAGTCCAACTGCAAATTAGTGAGCTGGCAGGCACTTCACAAATTTTTTTTTTAACTTCCCGGGGTTTATTCCTTCTCTTGTCAATTCCCCAGGCATATGTAATGCCAGCTCATATCCAGGTGAGGTCACTACAAAGCACACAAGGCCCTTGGTTGCCCTTCATTCTCACAGTTCCTCCTGCCCCACTCTCCCCACAGCCTCACCAAGGCAGATAGAGATGCTGACGGTACCAGCTTCTGCATCAGAATGGGGAAAGACCAAGGATTCAACTTCCTGCCGGCTGCTTTTGTCAGTTTTGACATCAAACTAGCAGCCCGTTTCTCCTATGTATTTCACATGCATCCTCAGAAAATTCCAGAAATCAGTCCACAGCATGCAACAGCTGGCCTGCTGTTCTGTGACGCCACACACCTCTCCCAGCAGGGAAGGATGCAGGAGCCTCCCACAGAATGGGCATTGCTGGGGCCCTCGAGAGCTTTGCCTGTGCCCTGGCCGTGGTGGGGATGCTGTGCCCGAGGGGTCTGAGGCCGGCCTGAGAAATCTATGCTCAGAGGCCTGAGCAGCACAGTGGAGCCCAGGAGTTGGGAAGACACTGACCTCCCAAATTCTGCTGGGCAAAGGACGTCTGAGGGTTCTCCTGTGGATCTGACGGGGTCATGTTAGAGAATGAAACACAGGGGGCTTATTACAACCTGTGCATTGGACCAGGAGGGACCAATCAGATTGCCTATTAGGGTTCATGCTAATGGTGTGGGAACAGGGAGTTCTCTTCCCTGGATGTGGAGGAGGAAGGCGTAGCCCTGGTGCTAATGACCGCCATCTTGGGCCATGGAACCATTCAGCACAGAGGTGAAACTGGCGCAAGGAGATCAGAGCAGAAAGATGGTCCATGACCATGACCAGATGGTCCGTGGCACACACCCTTAACCTGGACTCCCGCTAATGTGAACCAGGAGACTCTGTATTACGCTAGCCTGGGATTTCTGACATTGGTCACCGAAAGCACAACATTTTACAATCTGTTTCAAATCTGTAGGCCAAGTGTGTGCTAGATAGACCTGTCCAAAATCAGCAAAACGGGAAGGGCTCAGAATGACACCCTCACTTTCTTCTTCCTGGGTGAACACTAGGGAACATGTGGACGCAAAGCCAAATGAGACATTCCCTGAAAGATGGACTTCTCTGCCCAGAAGGTAAGAAACAGGGAGAGGTATTATGTGTTACCTGGTAATGAACTCTCTGGGAGTCAGAAGAAACAGACTGCAGGTCCTAATGAGAAAATGAAATAAAAAAAGAAAAATCCATTCCTTAAAGTGAGTTTGAACAAACGTCCCCCCCCTCAGCTTTATGCACCGAATTCCCAGGAATGTGACTAAGCACAGGTGCAAAGTCTGTGTTGTGGTGGTGATGGTTAGTTTCTGCTGCAGCGATTCACACTCATGCGAGCCTGTGTGTGCAGCGCAGAACTGCTCCATAGGGTTTCCAAGGCTGTGAGCTTTGGAAGCGGACTGCCAGGCCTTAGCCCTGAGGCACTTCTGGGTGGGTCTGAACCGTCAACCTGCAGGTTAGCAGTCCAGGGCTCAACCATCTGTGCCATCCAGGGGCTCCGAAGATCTACTCACCCAAGTGCATTCAGGGTAAATAAAGAAGATAATGCCAAAAACAGTAAAAGCAGAACACGCCGGACTGAGACAGGAACGGTCACTTAGCTGTGGAAACTTACAAATCCTCAACGTAGTTTAGGGGTGACAGATGAATGACAGACATCCAGGGCGGTAACGGGCATTTGTTATAGTAAGTTGGGATCACAGGTAATTTACACTCGAACTATGGCATGGGAAGAAAGCTTTGAAAGTCCCTTGAAGCACTTAGAAAGACGGTCCTCACTCGGACCCCGTCAGTTCTGCCATCATCACTGTGTGTCCACGGGTCACTTGCTTGGCTCACCCACGTTTCCCTAGATTGCTTAGGGAAACCCACCAGCATCTCTGCATTGGCACCAAGTGCCAGTGACTGGGCTGAAATCAATGAGGCTACACTGGCAGAGTCAGGAAGCCGGCTCCCTTCATGATGTTTCCATAACTAAGGGGTCGCCTCGGTCATGTCCCGCGGCCGTCCTTGTGAACGATGCTGATGTCAGCATCCTGGGGGCCTTTGTCAACTTACTCACTGGCCCAAGCTAGGCTTAAAACTTCTCCTCTTGATCTGCTGAATTCTGTCCTTTTTCTTAGACTCTTATTTTTGCTGAATATTGCTGTGCTGGGCATGCCAAGAAGGCAGTTGTTAACAAAGTCAACTGCACACTTGTATTTTTGTTAACAAAGTTACCTAAATGGTTAAAAGAAAAGAAAAAGAAAAAATAGGTTTGGCACCAATTCTGATTAACTCTTGAGTGACAGGTCTGGTGTATAAGGTTCTACATTAGACAAAAATGCTATTTGGAACAAGGAGACATTATGTGTTCTGGAGGCACTCTGCTGTTGTAGTGGTTAAAGCACTCAGCTGCTAACCAAGATTGCTGGTTTGAACCCACCAGCTGCTCCCTGGGAGAAAGAGGCGGCAGTCTGCTTCCATAAAGATTGACAGGCTTGGAAACCCTATGGGGCAGTTCAACTCTGTCCTATAGGGTTGCTATGTGCTGGAATTGACTCGAAGGTAGTGGGTTTGAGTTTTTGGTTTTATATACTCTGGGAAGATAAATTTAGACCTGAGACACATGTGAACAAATTCACCATGTGAACATGTGGTAGCAGCTGTCCTCAGCAAAAACAGCTAAATGCAGCCCCAAACCCAACAGGTGCGCACTCTTTTCCCACCTGGATCAGTGTTCAAATTCTGCCATTTACTTCTCAGTGTTTTGCATCCACAATTCCATCTCCATCCTCAACAAAGCTGAAGGGAGACACCTTAACAACCACTCACATCAGCGTACGCCTCCCACCCAGACATATTCCCACACTGAGAAACTGAGTGTGGTGCTCCACACTGAGGGGCTACCCCATGAAAGGACGCTATAGACCTTACTTCATCTGTGATAGTTGTTTCTGTAGACTGTGTTGTCGGGGAGACAGGTTCTCAACCAGGGGACAGATCAGAACCCCCTCAGCAGTGTTAGCAACGCACCCCACAGAAGACTCTCCCATGTGCCTTCCCCAGAAGAGATCAGGAAGTCACTATATGCTTTTTGCCATGTGGGGAACAGAGACAGTCACTGCTCAAGTTGTGCAAGTAACAGCCCATGACAACCGTCACGATGGGTTTGCGTCCCCTGGCTTTGCAGGTCAGTTCAAATTCAAGGCAATTCCATGCATGCGATTCCTGTCCTGTTTCTCAATGGTAAACCAGATTGAGGGGAAAAAATAATAAAGGGATGTTTCTGTTGTGTCTGACTCAAAATTCCATGAAACATTAACAGTGTTTCTTTCCCACAGAAGCTACTTAAAAAAAAACCTGTTTCTGACAAGTCTGTGATAGATAGAAAATGTTTTTTTTAAACTTCAATCTCAGTTTTCTTTTATTATTTATCAGTGCCCTTTATAATCATGTCTAACTCAAAAATTATAGGTTTGTCATCTGGCAAGAATGAGCCCTGGTGGCACAGTGGTTAAGTGCTCGCCTGCTAAGCAAAAGGATGATGGTTCAAACCCAGCAGCTGCTCCGTGGGAGAAAGATGAAGTGGTATGCTGCCGTTGAGATGACAGCCTTGGAGACCCTGTGGGCAGTTCCACTCTGTCCTCTAGGGGCGCTGTGGGTCAGAATGGACTCCACGGCAGTGGGTGTGGTTTGGGC